TACCAGCTGTTGCTTCCAGTATCAAGGGCCTATGATGCCATACAGAACCACTAATTTCCGAGTATTACTCAGTGTAAATGGGGTAATTAAGCACTAGAATGATGGCAACTGGTATCTGGAGACTGAAGGTACCTTAGTAAAACAAAAGATCTTTCCAGGAACTTAACTTAACAAGGTTTTGTATGCCAGACAGCTGATAAAATACCGAGAGACAGCAGTGATCGGCTGACCTGAGTATCTGTCCTGGATGACTCTGTATCCGAGACACGAACTGATGAAACAATCTGTCCCCATGAGTTGGGATGCTTTTTTCATACTTCTCTTGTGTAAGATTTTCTCCTTGGTCCTGCACCAAACTTTTTTCTTGCTCTGGACTCAGCACGTTTATGCCATCATCATTATTCTGTTGGTATTCCTGCAGCAACTCACGCACATGCTCAGAAATGGGTGTGATGGTGGGTGAACTGGACAAATCTTCTTCACCTACACTGATAAATGAAGACACAAACTGAGGTGGCCCAGTTGGTAACGCATAATGTTGCCTTTTACCATCACCACCATTTGTACTGCGAAGTTCCATAGGTAACGGAGCTACCTCCTGCAGCAACGCAGTCAGATCATGCTGTGGAGCTGTCGGAGTATCAATGCTCACCTGTGAATTACAAGAACCAGTTCATTTAATGTTACACAATAATGAATGATTCCATGGTACAGTGGTACCCAAACTTTTTTCCAGACCACTTGAAAATTATGAAGATGGTTGTAATGCCATATAGTCTGGTAGATGTTAACAAGTGTTTCAGAGGTACTTGCTGCCTCCATCATCATCAATCATTGCCCTGATGTTGGAGGCAGTATGAACCTCTAAAACATTGGTAAACTGTCAGAAAACACCAGTATATAGAAGAATTTTAAACACACAACACAGGGGAAAAATTAATAAAGAGGCAAAGGTAAAGAAGTTATCCCTGGCACTTACTAAGTACCATGCCATATGTATGGGGTAGTGGAAGAATAGCTCCACTCTTTCTTGACCTTGGAACCAAGTAGAGATGGGTGGTCAGCTTCACACCCCAGCTGCTTTACCCCCAGGGTAAGGGCCCCAAGTACTTATTGAGTAAGAGGCTATGCAGGCTCTAAAGTTGGACTGGAAGCAGAGGCTGAACAAAATATTTTTTGTCCCTGCCAGGAACTGAACCCTGGTAATCAAGCTTGTAGTCAGTCACTATACTGACTCAACTACGCTGCCTCCCCAATGAAACAATGGACACGTGTGCGCTTTCAGAGAAAAAAGAACAATTTAAATTCTAACCCATGGAGTTGGCATGAAATGCTTGTGAGGAAGTTCAATAATTTACTCATGCTTTAAAGAAATATATGACTACAATAAATATCTACTACTTCAAAGTTTCCCTGAAGTTTGATAAATGCAGGGCGGTTAGTCAGTCAAGAGGTTTCCTGAATGTATGAGATTAATGATCATTTCCATGCAAAATGTGTCAATAGGCCATTTACAAAGGTTTATAATACTCACCACCTCACTTTCATCGCCTTCGATTTCTGCTGTTGCTGAAGGGGAGTGCAGTCTCCCAACAGCCCCTGCCCCAGCTCCTGCAGTAACTCCCTTGCCTCCTCCCCAGTTTGCATTCCACTCATCTACACTCAAGTTCCCAAGTCTTACTTGAACATCATCTTCATAATCTTCTGTCTCATCTTCTTCATCTGAAAAGTAGCTTTCTATTCGCCCAATTACATTGCCATTCTCTTCACTGTTGTTACCATTGTTATCATCCTCCCAGTCATCAGCATCAGCACACCACTCAGAGGAGCTCAATGTATTCACTGTTGTGGCTGATGTGTTACTACCAGTCTCAAGAGTTTGACTGCGGATACATACCCAGCTGCACAGAACCAAATGGCATGTATACTACAATTTCCAAGCTTCACATTTCGAAAATATATTAACACCAGCAAATAATCACCAACCAACTGACATATATCTACACAATATGCTGAAAAGCAACTGTTGGTTGGTACATGATAATTAATGTTAGGCAATTTTGGGCCTTACAGGATATTTATAACTAGGAGTGTGCTACCAACTATGTCAGAAAGAAGAAGCATAATAAAGGGGCATACATTCTTTTATCTGGCAGTTCAAGCAAAATTTTCTTACTGTTTGTAAAGAAAGAAAGTGTTTGCAGAAGAATATAGTGAGCAATCATGAATAAAAAATTTACACAAACAGCTCACATAAAAAGCTCATGCAAACTAAGTGTCATATTTTAAAAGGGCCTCAATGTTCCATGTGAAGGTAAAATGTGTAACCATTCTAATGTTACAATACTTGTCTTCTCCAGCTTTAATTTGAAAAATATTTGTCTACACTATGTTGCACTTACATTCCTCATCACACTACTTTACACAGACACATTCTCTAATGTGTGTAAAGTTTTCTTACACATCACACAGGAGAATGACCTGGAAACATTAGAAATCTGTTCACAAAATAACACTGTAACAAGGCTAAACATTCTTGGCTTTTGCTTCACAACTGATTTGTTGAATTGTTTTCAGGTATGTCACAATCTACTCTGAGCAAAGAACACATTATAGGCCCATCCATGTTTGTTTGTTGTGGCTTTTACAAAAATGGGGAAGGATTACCTATAGATGTGCAACAATGTGACCACAAATTAAATTAGTGAAAGAATGACCATAGGTCATTGTTGGATGACAATGTTGCACAACAGCCCATGATCACATAACCGCAAAAATTACCCAAGACACAATAACCTTGAATAACAATGGTGCAAAAATGACCTACATGATATAGCATGATGTACACCATCATAATAAGGGTGTACTCCAAAGAGTACATCTTTCCAATCTTTCTGGGTGTTCTTCATGCCCCAGTGTCGTTGACTAACACCTTATGGGTCTTCCCATGTCTGCCTTATCTGTCATTTTTTAAAAATATGAACTAGGAAACTCCCAGAGCTTCCCAAGGGGTGAAGTGAACCTAAGAGTTTGCACTACAAGGGTATTTTTGAATTCTATCCTTTGGGACTGACAGTTAATATATTTATAATGACCTTTCATTCTGGTTCCAGCAGTTTGGATTGATGCATCCAAATAAATACAGAGTTCTGTGATAAGGTGAATTCTCCAAGGGGGCATATATCTGCAGTACTAATGGCAAGGAGAGTCCACAGAGATGGCATAGAGGCTGAGGAATGCCATCTACAGGCCAGTCCTGAAACACAAACAGAGTAGTATTCATGTTACCCTCAGCTCCTTTACACTGTCCTAAAATTGCTCTAATGATTATCAATTATGATTCAACAATGGAACAGAAGGGTTTGATTAACTTTTTGAATATTTAATGACTCTTTTTAATTGCAGGCATCAAGTGACAGGATAAATGTGAATAATAATCTGGAAACAATGCAGAAGGAAGATGTTGTGGAAAGTTTTGGAACTATCTTCAGTTTTTCTCTGAACTAATGAAAAACATCAGTGAGCACATATGACCTCTGTATTAGAATCTGAACCAGGGACATTCCAAATATGAAGCAGGAGTACTAACTACATGATTGAAATATTCAGTGTAACAAAAAGGGTTACACAGATATTGCAAATTAAAGTGGCCAATCAGGAGTGACACTTTTAAGATGTATGAGAAACATTACTCATATAGCACCTACTAAACACTTGTTTAAAACTGAATTTGTAAATATGTTATATGTACATGAAAAAGATGAAAATGTCTGAAATGTTACTCATCTGCAAGATTATTAGAATATTGAGCATTCTTGTGCACATTTTCTACTGAATGAACATCTAATGGGGCAAAGAGAGGAACCAAATGGATATATCTGCAATACAGCCAATACCACCATATTGGTACACACACTGTCGAATGAGACTAATCATTCTGCACTTCAGATCACTGAAGGCAAATGTGAAGGCCTTAACTCTTACAGATGTCACACTTTCCACACCTAATTCAGAATGCACTTAATTAGATATGCATTAATACATAGTGCATAAAAGGTAATCTAAATCAACTAGTCTGATAGAGTGAATTGAAATAACACACAAAAGAGTTTTTAAATTAACAACAAGGGTTCCAAGTTTTAAAAAGTTATTTAAATGTCACATAATATAAAATTTTTGCATAGAAATTAACAATAATTTCTTATTATACTATCACACCCTTCGGCTGGTCCATGAGAGCCAAGGTGTGAGGTATCATGCTGAGGAAAGCATGGCACTGAGGTGGTGATAAAAGTGTCTCTAACTACCACTTCAGGGCAGTAGGCAGTACCCCATCATATGAGCGCCTTCTACCGGCACCAGCTGTGAGAAACCTACCTTCACTATTCATATAGGTCACCTCTCTGGGAGCCATTGGTTCTCAATGGTTCTGGCATACTGCCACAGAGAGCTGGCAGTTCTAGCAGAACCATGGATAAAGGTGATCTACAATATGTAGTCTTAAGGTACATATTGTACATACGAGGTGCGATCGGAAAGTTTCAAGACTGCGCCTATAAAAACCCGTACATTTATCTCAGGTATTAAATTCATCCATCACCCTCGAAGTAGTTCCCCTGGGAGTGAACACAACGATCCCAGCGCCGCTGCCAAGCCTGGAAGCATCCCTGGAAATCTTTCTTTCTCAGCCTGTCAAGCACCATCTGCGATTCTGCCTGAATCTCTTCTATCGCCTCAAATCTCCTTCCCTTTAGCTGAATGTTCATCATTGGGAAGAGGAAGAAGTCACACGGAGCTAAATCCGGCGAATAAGGAGGGTGCGGGATGACGGCCATAGTGTTTGAGGCCAAAAACTGCCGAACTTTGAGGGCGGTGTGCGCTGGCGCGTTGTCATGATGCGTCGCATGTAGAGTTCTTCCTTTAGAATCAGCTGACAGGTCCCATAGCCTACCCCAACAATGTCGCACAAGTCGTAGATGGTACGACGTCGATCTTCGTGAATGGCCTGCACACGCCATTCCGCAATCGCAGGAGGGTCGGTGTAATGCACTACCAAAACGCCCGTAACTAAGAAACAAATGCTAATTCGATGATGCCGGCTGGCACACTGATTCACTATGAATGTAGGCCGCACCCCCTAAAGGGAGAAGCTCGTACTACATCCGGTTCGCCCGCTATTGACACAGTCTTGAAACTTTCCGATCGCACCTCGTATAAGCATCATGACACAGACTGTCTGGAATGCCAGAAGAAAGCTTAAAAGCCAGAGTGAACAGAGGTAACACTGGGGGCTTATGGCAACTGGTGTATGTGGCAATACCACAGTCCCCCAGGTTGTTATTCATGGCCACTAGTGCATGCAACATGTAACACCAGGTTTAAGCAACTTCAACCAGTGTTCTAAATTTAATCGAAGATTCTGGAAGTCGCAATAATGGACTAGTAACTTCCAGAAGCATTACATGTTCTATAAACACTAGGTTGCAGAAAATAGTTAATTGCAAGTGTTTCATATGTGTGTGGACCTCACAGTGACTGTGGACATGGCAGGAGTGAGCAGTTACTGACCAGCACCAGGAGACCAGAATTATGACAAAGAAGAGAACATTTATATCCATTCTACAATATTTTAAGTACAGAAATCACCGATGGTATTATGAGCTACTATGTTAAATGCCTCAGTATGTGTCAGTTATGTCCCCATGCAATTTGATCTTTTACATCTGTATCTATGTGTGATAAGTTACAATATCTTTACTACCACAAACTTATCTGTAACTGTATTGTTATGAGGGCCAGTAAGAAATTAATGTCTCATATTTCTTATTTCATACAATTTGAAAGATAATATAGTTAAAATCACAAATGTATAGAGCCACAATATTGGTGAACACATTATTTATTTTTCATTGTAGTCCCAATTTTTCACAACAGATTTATTCTTGCACTGAATGAGAACATGTGCTGCCAATGCAAGAGTCTCTCTCCTTATTCATCCACTGCTACATAACATTCTTCAATGTGTCACCATCACACCCCAATAACACAAATACAATTTTACTTTCTTTCATTTCACTGATGCTGTGGTATTGTTTATCAGTTCAGACCATCCTCAAACAATGGTATTTATTCAGTTTGTAACAAATATCTTTGAGTTACGCGACAATTTTCCCCCAAGGTCATAAGATAAAAAAATATAAGACAAGAAAAACTGTGCCATTTAATGACATTACACAAACAACACAAAATCGTTAAATAACATTACTTACCGGTCTCCCTCCTACTTTGTTGGTCGTGAAATTGACAAGCGACTTGTTTTTTTCTGTAATGTATTCATCTTCAAATCCCAATAACACTTTAGGTCCCTTTCTTGCCATAAGTATATTTTGAAAGTAATATCACCAGACCCTACCACCGCACAGCAGAACAAAACAAAACAAAACACAGATTGCTCTGGATTTTACAAGCCACTTGGATACTATCAAAAACATGCAATGCTAAGCAATAATTGAATCAAGATGGCCACGAAAGATCGATTCTGTATAGCTGTGACGTAAATAGTTGTGAAGTGGGGGCAGCGCATAGTTTGCATTGGATACAATCAACTGTAAATATAATATCATGAAAGATATACACAGTCCTGCACCTTGATTATGTGGGTGGGGGCTTTAAATCACAAAAGGAAAAAACGTTATGTTAATAAGTTTTGTTCCCAATCTACTTGGCCTGGATTTTGGTGATTATTCGTGTTTGTCTCGACGCACTGCCCTCGATCGGTGGAATTACAAACTATAGTTTCGGCAACAAAATGTTATGAGAACGGATTTCAATGAAATTTGGTATGAAGATAAAACCAACGGATCTTCGTCCACCATAGCAATTTTCAATTTATTGGAATTGAAAATAACATCGGATGCTGAAATATGAACAAAATGGGACGCTAGTACCTAGGACCGTCTCCAATTAGTGACGTTATCTGTCTTGATGAGAGTCATCTTCCGTGTTGAACGCCGCGGAACGAAATTACAGTACCACGCAGAAAGAGTTGTTAGCGGGTATTTTTGGCACAATGACCCATAGATATGTTTTGTACGGCAGGAAGTTTAAGGTTGTGACATCACGATGCCTTGGGTGAATATGATTTCGAAATCGAACATAAATCGGGGAAGAAACACGTCACGACATATTGCGACTCTCGCAACCTCCACCCAGCAGGAGAGGGCTGTAGGAATCGGAGAAGGAACCCTCACTCGGGAAGTCATGGTTAAGGAACAACAGGAGGCCCCTACTAGTAAAGTAAAGTAAAGCTGTCCCAATATACGCCATGTAAAAACTCGAGAATGGGTGGATGGATTTCATGCCATTCGCGGATAATTCAAAATCACGCTTTTCAATTTTCAAAAATTGGCAATAACGTGATGACGTCATAACCCATCGTCATCAGCCTTGATTTGGTATTATCAAGACGAAGTTTGGACCTGTGTGTACATCCGATACGTAATAAAGAGAACATTTGGAATTTATTCGTACTCCAAAGAGCGCACTTTTTAAGTCTTGCTTTTCTGATATTTTCAACCCGTGCTGAAACCAAACTGTGGGCTGGTTTCCTCCATCTCATCACTCAAACTTGGTCCGATTCAGATTAGGAAACTGATCATCCTACCACACATTTTCAATTACACTCGCTTTTGGCAGCATATTTAATGCTTTATAACAAATGCCAGATAAATCTTCCTTGGCAAAGAATAGTCCACACCACAACTCCCATTCTACTATCACCTTAATTGCTACATAAACTCGTCAATTCCTCAAAAGTAGGTAACGTATTTCGTCACACCATTAAAACGTCAATATTATTTTCAACACACTTCTGTTCTCATATGGGGAATTCAAACACATTAGGTTTATGGGAATTGGGGTTCTTACAGTGGCAAGTATGATGGCTGTCTTCTGGGTTGTAACTCCATGTAGTCTGGTAGAAGTTTGCCAACATTTCAGAGTTGACAATAAGTGTCAATATCATGACAACCAGTCACCTGAAAATGATAGTAGTGTCAATTCCTAAAGCACCATATATATCAAATATACTTCAGACAATGGACACTTCTAACAGAATGATCATATTATGAAGAATAATGGAAAACATTCTCAAGATTCTTTTATTCAGGAGACAGGAAGATCTCTGTCAACAATACTAACAGATTCATATGTGCACCATATGACATGCCTGTACACATAGCCTTGGAGTATTTACACTGTTTGCAGTGACTCAAAACTCAAGGCACTAAACTTGTGATAACACAAAGAATAAAACTGGCAACAATACAGTTCACATGTTTACAGATGTGCAGGAGTACTTGGTATGTTGTGAAAACTGCAAAAATTCAAGTTGTAAAAGGTAAATTGAAAATTAGAACATTTCTGTAATATGATAATTGCATTCAAGGTATCAATTTCTTTAATACACTAGTGAAAAGAGAGCAGTGTATTCTAGTGTAACCAATAATATGTACCTTGAAATATAACTTTATGTCATTTAATCCAATGTTTTATGAATGTTATTGTACATGAATGAACACTGAAGGCAATAGTTCAAGAATCTGCAGAGATGATAATATAAATCTGTGCGACTTGATCTTCCATCTGCACATCAACTTTCAAACAACACGAATATTATGTACATATGAGTAAAACAATATGTACATGATATGTAATATCAAAATTATATTATATGAAAATTAAAATAAACTGGATGAATAAAGCTGATCAGTTTTCATTTCCAAATTTCTACTGAAGACCATGAACAGCAAATTATCATTCTTGTCATGTAAGAGTTTTATTGATAACATCTGTTTGAAAAGTATCAAATGTAGGTCAAAGATCTACAATCCCAATTTTCAACCTTCAAGCAGCTGCTCAAATAATGACAAATGATAACAGATCACTATTATAATAAAGACCAAATGAAACTACAAAAACATTTTCTATGAAGATTATTAGAATATGTATACACAGATAACAAGACCCTCTACAATGCAATCAAAGTTAAAATACTAACTTTTGAGGTTATGTTAACTACGTTTCAACATAACTTGAAATCTATCATCACATAAGACCCTACAGGTGGATTACAGATATGCATTTTCCAACTTTTAATATGAATGATACATTAATTTTATATTGTAATATGTGCATAAAGCCGTCACAGTGGCCACTTGGTCTGAGGCGTGGGCCTTGAGCCGCTTGGTTACTGGGTCCGAGGGTTCGAATCCCACTCAAGGCATGGACGTTTGTCTGCGGCTTTCTGTGCTGTGTTGTCCTGTGTACAGGTAAAGGCCTTGCGACAGGCTGATCGCTCATCCAAGGAGTCCTACCAACTGTATAATATATCAAAGCCAACAAAAACGTTTGGACCCGCAGATGCTCAAGGCAATGAAGAACGGGTCGCCTAAGTATCCTAAGTAAATATGTGCATAAAAATAGTTTCACTAACTTATATTTGGTTTGTTATGACACATTCTCAACATGGCTACTCTTGCACATGCTGCATGTATGTTAGTTCTTTACCAAGCTTGAAAATCTGAGGTGGATGTCATTCCCAGTCCTGCAGCAGCAATAAATCCAATTCTGATTTAACTGTTTAATTGCCAGCATAAGTCTGTACCTGGACTATGTGTGCTGTCCATGTTATGTTACTTTGCTTAAGTACTCGGGTGCCGTGTATCATTTATTTTTATGCCTGTGCCAAGGACAATACTGTAAGCACATCCCATCTATAATGTACTATTATAATCAGTAAGGATTTCTCTTTTTGCTTTACTGCCTCCATTTCTTTCTGTCACTGTATATGTCCACAGTGAACAAAAGAATGTAAACAAAGAGCCAAATTATTTCTGCCAGGAGGCAGTGCTGACAATTGTACTATTAGATTATGATAATGAATGAGTTAATGAGCAGTAAGGGTCTTCAAAAAGATATTCCTTCAACATAAATTCAGTTATCTTCATAAATCATATTCAGTGACAGTTTAAATGTCTACATTATATTCTGTACAACAAGAGAGTTCTGGTGTGACAGACACATAAAAAGGATAAACAAATGCAAAATAACAGATTAAGTCACAGACTTAACAAGAAGACAATTCCTGAGATGTATGTGTAAAGTTGATCAAGATCTATATTTTTCTGTTGGGTAAATTTCTTCACTGTACAAAAGTCTGACTGTGGATAAAAAGCGTGAATTTCCAGGTGTGACATTTTGCACACACAAAAGACCTACCAAAACAGTATATTAATATAACTATACAACTATACCATATATTTTATAAAGATGTGAAATGGCAGTTTTGATTTTACAGTCCCATCACTTAAGATGACAGAAACTTAGCGATGCCCATAGCCACACCATTCTGTGACCTACCTATCACAGGCTAGTTGTTCAGACTACGTTCTACACATGCAAGCAAACGTGGCCAAGACTCAACACCATCTTCTTGACAACATGGGTAATGGTAACAATTACATGTAGGACAATGAACATGTTCTATGGCACTTGGCCTGTAACTACACATCAAAGAACACATACACTAGTGTTTTGTTCAACTATCATACTACTATCAGGTTCTCTTAATTCATCTACCAGAAAAAATTGTCCCAAAAAGGTATTAAAACAAAGTCAGCTTAAAACGTTCAGATCCATCTGGAAAGTTGTGAGACTGCCTCTGCAGCCTGAGAGGCCTACATATATATGAACACTTACATATTAGAAATTATAAGTGTAATCATACCCAAATTAAACATAGCAGCTCAACAGTTTTTGACTGCTAGTATTTGAAAGGGGAAAAATTACATTATAAATTTCTGACTATAGATAGAGGAAAGTTTGAAGTTAACAGAATATAAAAATAATACTGAATAAATATCTGATATACTTGATAAGGAAAAAGACATAAAACTTGCAGGTACTGTACATAAATAGTTTAAAAAATGCTTATTAAGAAATCACTTGAATAAATACATTTCTTGGCAGTGATGAGTAGGTTAATATACTGTCTCTATTGAAAATATATCACAATCTACCTTCCATAAGTAGTTTACAAATAGTCCTCTTCACTTGGGCTGCAGTGTAGCAGATTTTGCCACATCATGTGGAGAAGACATTGAATAGCTGTGATGGGAGGCTGGAAGTGGCAAAGCAGTGGTGGATGTGGAAGGTAGACTGGATGCTGATGCGAGCGTTGTGTCTAGCTTCCGAGCCTCATGCTCCAATAACACAGCATCCAGTGATGGATCCTGTGATACAGTACGTAGGGAATCTCCTAGAGCTTGCCTCAGATGCTGCATCTCTCTGCCAGTACGAGAACTTCTCAATACGTACAGTTGTCTGCGCTTAACTTCTTGATTCAACTGCTCTCTCAGCAACTGTATCTATAATGAAATGATGCTATGACCCCTACAGTTGAAACAGCATAAGTAGATAACCTGAGATGTGTCTTTAAGAATGACACTTATTTCCACTTTACAGTGGGGTAAGATGGGGGGGGGGCAACTAACTACTGCTTTAAGACAGTATAGGTACTACTTATAATGGAAACATCTGGCTGTTATTTCTTTGCCTCTGCATTGTACAACCAGATCCTCAAAAGTTCTCTCTTATGGGTCCAATATCAAAATATGTATACTACCACTATGTTTGCATGGTGAAATGTTTATAGTATGTTACTAGAGCCAGAAGAACTTCATAAAGTCACATGAAACACACTAAAAAGGGTAGATAATTGCCTTCAAGGTGGTGGACATTTTCAGCATCTGCTGTAAAGCTCGTCTGTAAGTACTGCTTAACAAATTAATAAAATACTGTGTCTTGATGAAAGACTCTCGGCTTACTCGACTGCCAGTTCCTATTGGTCAGCGCGAAACAAAGCAATGGACGGGCCACCACCAACACCATGCTACTACCTGCCGTCCACCACCATTTCCCATTGGCGAGCACACTACGAAGGACCAGATTTGTCATGCAGCAGCCCTGAGGATGAGAGCAGAGATTGCTCTCGAAACGTTGGCAGAAGATATGGTTAATTCACCATTCAGCCACCAGACGCGGCTCGTAACCTGAGAGTCTTTCATCAACTTCAGTTGCAGCGAAAGCTTCACTTTATACATTGTTTGTCTTGTTACAATGATGTCAACAAAGCTTACACATACTACTGTACTTAGGGCTGTGTTTCAAATAGAAAACTCTTATATAAGTTAAAAAATAGCACAACTATGCAATTATGTCTACATCTTAAATGTCATTGAAATTTTACAAAAGTCTGGAAATTCTTGCATAACTTCTAAGCACTAGATCTGGATGAAAGACCATTATTACCTGATTTTCTAATCGCAGAACTTGTTGTCGGTGTGACTGCTCCCTCGCTTCCAGGAGCCTCTCTGCCTGTAGCTGGGCTGCTCTCAGCCTTTCTATCTCTGTGCTGCGATCTAGTTTAAAATCTGATGAAAGTTGAGAGCGTAATTTGGTGATTTCTGCTTCCTTGTCTACTAACTGAGCCTCTAAGTGAAGCATTCGCATACGAAGCTCCCGGTTTTCTTGCTCCAAGCCCTCAGAACTTGACTCCTTCTCTGGTCGTTCATAGCTCTTGCTGCGACCAACTGCTGTCTTGGCATAGGTTCTCTCCAGGTTCTGTTTCTCAGTTTCTAACTGGCGAACCTAAGTGCAAGAATTTATATTCTTTATTACTAGACAGCAATTGAAATAAGCTTGAATGAAACTCTGACAGCAAAGTGAAACATGTTATACAGTACAAATTATACTATTTGCATTAAATATAAGCAAGTGCCATCTTCTGTGTTGTTGCGCTGTGTAGTCTGGTCGATATTAACCAACGTTTCAGAGGTCATCAGGGCGATGAATACTGCCTCCGTCATTGCCCTGATGACGGAGGCAGTATGACCTCTGAAACGTTGGTTAATATCGACCAGACTACACAGCGCAACAACACAGAAGATGGAAATCTTCAAGTGATTTAATGTTTAAAATAAATTCCATTTGTAAATTTCTGGACCTAAGGCAGGACATACAAAGAGGAAACTAGTTGCAAGAGATGGGCTTCCAAAATTGACTGTAAAAACCTTAAATCTGATCACAGTGTTGTTTAGAGACCAATTTTCTGTTATAGGTGATCCTTGTGCAGTAGTAAGAAAGACATAACCATACAAAATATTCAGTTTCCTACATTTTCTGCTTATCTTGGACACACAGATCTCTCCCGAAAGCACTCTTAAGTCCTTAGAGAACTGGTTGACACTTATGGTATTTTACAGCATGACAGCAAGAAAGGATTAAGGTTTGAGGAGTAGTTAAGTGTCTCTAACCTCAATCTCTTTGAGATACATCACATTTAAGCTGATTAAGTTCTGAAACCAATTCATAAGAGAATAAACATTACATCAAGGATGAAATACAGGCAGACATGCACCAGGACTCAAATGATCTATGTGAGCCATGATAGCTCAGTCAGTAAAGTGACCAGCTGACTTGGATAGCTTGGTCCTACCCAACCTTCTATCAAATGGGTAATGGGCAATAGGGACCCTACATGGAGGTAAGATCTGTCACAATTGTCATGTTTAACATGCCAGTAACTTCAGAATTAAGTACTTAAATATATGATAATCTTATGACAAAAAGTAATCTATTTTCAGAGATATAACTAGTGTACTAGCTGCAAGTTCACCTTATCTGACAGAGATTCCACTTTTCCTCGCAGTTCCATGCGTTCCCGCTGCGACGTCTGTAGCTGCCGCATCAGTTCCTCATCTTTTCCGGTTGTTCCCGATCGCTCTGGTGGCCAGCTTGCCAATCGTAGTTGAGCTTCAAGGCCAGAGCGTTGGACTTCACTATTTGCCAACTCTGTCTGCAGCCGCTGGTTCTGATCAGAGAGATGTTGATTGGTATGTCGCAGCTCAGCCAATGTTTGTTGTGACGCTTCAAGGCGTTCTGTGATCACTCTGCGTTCATTTTCACTGTTGGTCAATGATTTTTGAAGCTGTGAAAATAAATAAGTGAAAAGTATAAGCCAAAGGCTAAGATTCAGTCTCAATGAAAATGTGCACTTTTATTTATTGGTTACTTCATAATACTGTATCTATTAAAACCAAGATTTCAACTTCTGAATACAAAGTATGAAAGCTAACCACTTTACTATGACATTCAGTAATACTGTATCAACTACTAGGATATCGTGAATGATGAACACATTTATTCATAGGTTATTTAACACTGATGTATAAACTGCAGAAATCATGTGGTGGTAAATGAGTTGTGAGGGTCATTTTATACAATGAATTGGAAGCAGCAGTATAGAAACTGAGAATTACCCAATACAGATAGTTATACAGTATCACGTCAAGATAATTTACAGAGACAATGTAAGTGCAGCTAAATAAGAGAATGAAGAAGAATGTAGAGAGAAAAGGAAGGGTAAATATGTAACAGCCTGACATTCTACTTGCGACCCAGAATTATGATAACATTAAACACCCAGCACTTAACATGGTAAAATCCTTCAAGTAAATCACCTGACCTGTTTTAGCTTCTCACTACTTGACTGTGAGGTTGAACTGGTGTCCAGCAATGTGCGCTGCAGACTCTGTATTTCAGCTCTCATTTCTGTCTCAGCAGTGTTTGCTCGTTCTAGCGCCAAGTTCAGCTGGTCGATAGTTGACTTCAATGAAGCACAGCGCTCCTCAAGACTTGCAAGATTCCGCCCCTGGATCTCACACTTATCATGCAACTTCTGCACAGCAAACATTTCTAAGTTAGTGCCAACTAAATTCATGGCAGAAAATGTTCTTTCTGAAAGATGATAGTCTCTCAGCTGGTCAAGAACTTCTGTACTTTTATGGAATACAAAGGTTCCTCACAATGCTCACAAAAACTCGCCCATCGTTGGACTCAATCTTGAGTCAGTCAAATCCACACCATATGTTAACATCTTATTACTCCAAATCACATTTTAACATAAATTTCTAAGACCAGGTATCTCAAGTGATCTCTTCATGCGTATCTATCTATGAGTATACGTGTCAGAACCCAGAACAACACCCTCCTCACCACCATCATATTTCATATACCCTAGTAATACTAGGTAGGACAAAAATTCTATTAGATCAATTTTAATAACATTCATCTCCATCTATGTCTTCAAAGTGGTGCTTCCAATGAGGTTTTGCAACCAAAACTGTGGGCAGAGGAAAATCTTCATTGTGTAGTCCAGTCTAGACACTGGCAGCATTTTAATAATACTTTTTGTTAGATTGACAGTCCACCTACACAACAAGTTTAATGATTATAGTCTCAATGCTTATTAAAATACCACTACATGCTTTGACCTTTTTTAGTCGTCTTCAGGTGGTACTCTTTTAAGTGGTCAAAACTAATATATATGGATACTGAATTATATACATATTTAAGTCAGATAACATTAACATGGATCCTTGCAATTGATTTACAAGTATTCATAATATGAACTTTTCAGCAGTGCACTGTGAATGGGTGTCACATTTCTGCAACACCTCTTGTATCTTTGAATGTGTATGACAGACTGTGATATGTGTCCAGGCATGTACTAAATCTCACCTCTTATAAACGCATCAGAGTGCTGAGAGCTTGTACAATTCTTTCAGGGGCTGTAACTCGGAAAAGGACGCTTTTGTGGACCCATGTTTGTGTGAACTTCAGTGAACTGTTTTGCTGTGTAGAACAAACCCTCAAAGTTTGTACAGACTTTCAGATACAGAGATAAAATATACTTATGTCTTAATCTTCAGAATTTTAAAAGGAGAAAGCAATATTAAATATTTTGAACTATACATTAGTACGCATTTTCTGACTCTAACATGCTCTTAATTTCATCATGTATATCACTTCAATTTCCTACTGCAGCTCCCAAGTATTAGTAATTCTTATATCTGAAGCTGACATGATGACCTCTCCAGGATCACATACCTGGATATGAGAGTCCTTCTCCTGCAGTATCATCTGCAGGCGCTGCAGGTCTCCTTCTAAAGACAACCTCTGCAGTTCTAGTTTGGTGGCCCGAGACTCATTACGCCCCAATTCCTCTTGTAGATTACGCTTCTCATTCTCCAGTCTGGACATTGCTTGCCGCATTTTATCAAGTTTATCCTACAGACAGAAAATATACTTGGCAATTCTTCCTAATATTAGTTCTAAAAGAAATCTATGCTTTTAATTTTCAGTAGTCTTACAAAAATTCTACTAAGATTATCAATTTCGTTACAAAACAGCAAATTACTGACATTTATGAAAAGTCATTATTATAATTATAACATGCATTTTAGCAACTTAAAAACTACAGGCAGGAAATTATCAGCTGAAATGTGATTCATAAGACAGACATAATTTCAAACATGAAAGAAATTAAGTAGTGTCAGAATCACAAGTTTTACCACTAACAACATTTATTGAACACTAAAGAACACACCAGAGATGATATGCTTAGGATGAATTTAAAAATTCAAAGAATCTGTTTTGTAATGCCTACAACAGGCAAACTTTGTATAATACTGAGAATGGAGAGGAAAATGTTGGCAGAGACAGGAAACAGCAAATTTATGAGAGAATTTTCCATGTATTTCAGCAGAGAAAAAAACATGTGCACACACACAGAAAGTGTTCCCAAGCTTCTATTCAACAGTTCATCAAACAGTTAACACACAGGTGTCACATTCAGATAAACAGCAGTACTATTTTTCCTAAAATTGGCTACTGGAATGAAGTATTTTCAATTTCCACATAGTAAAGAAAAAGTCTGTTTCAAATAATGAATATAGATATTAATGAGTTACATTTTTTAAATAACAAAACCATTTTGTGCAGGAAAAATGAGTAACTTTTGAGAAATTATATATGTTCAATTTAAATTTCATGTAAGTCAAAGTGTTATGAATCACAACAAAATGGTTACATGAAGTAAGAACAAGCACATCTCATTTCATCAGAATTCATTAAGCAGTTTCAAAGATTACAACAAGAACAATGGACCTTCCCATTCAACAAAATATCTACTCAGGTTTCAACATCTGTTGCATCACACTAGACAGGCATACCAACAAAATGAATGATTTACTGGATACTAAATTCTTATATTTATCTGGTTTGACAAATGTGCATTATTAGTTTTCATATGTACAAATGTAAATGCATCCCCATGTAGAGCAGCATCAGCATTATGCCCTTCTGGAATGATATACATCACACTATTTTATGTTGTTACACCAAATATTTCGGATTATGAAGGTATGCTGATACGCCCTTCTGGCATAATGCCTTTGACATGACCAGAATCCTCAGTACCTCATACTGTCCCTTCTCTTCAGTGCCACTACTAACAGTGAGCTCCAGAGCCATTACTTTCTCTCTCATCTGCTGGGCCTCTTCAGATTTCTGCTGAAGAGCTTCTGCCTATAACATGACATAAGAAAGGAACATGAATATGCGCTACAACCACCTAAAAAAATTAAACCAATTACATAACTGCAGGATCCTATTGAGAAATAGTTGTTCAGTTTGTTAGCAAACTCCCTATTATAGAACTGGAAGTTTTATCATTGTGACCATACAAGTCTGCCACCGGACCCTAATTGTGACTGTCAAGAAGCTACAACGCTCGGATAAGACTAAGTGTAACAAAGAGAACTGCTGTAATAGGGCTGATTTCAAGCACAACAAAACTGATATAAAAACAATAATTAATTGAAATAAGTGTGAGTAAACAAATCCATCTTGTATTTCAAAGAATCCACATCTAATCACTGATCTATGCTATAACATTACCATCATACACTTGAAGAACATAAGCAGTACTTACGAACAAAACAACATTTTTTATGAATAACAGCAGAAGATGGCAGATGTCTGCACGCATGGAATGGTTTGACTCTTTCTCGGATTAAGAATTAACACTCATACAGATTTTGTATTCCGACTCTACATACCTGGGACTGTAAGACAGCTTGTTTCTGGCCCAATTTAGCTTCCAAAGTGCCTTTCTCATCTTGTGCGATTCTTACATTCTGCAAGGCTGTGTTTAGTTTTGTATCTACTTTGTTTTGCAGTTCCTGTGCCTCTTGCAACTGTTTCTTCGCACTTAAAACTTGGGTCTTGAAATCATCCTGAAAAGAATGGAACCAAACTTCTGTACATAATCTTCATCTACCTATCGATTGTTTGACTGATTGTATCTGAGCTTATTTAAAGACGCTTTTTCAATTCGGCAGAGATTATACAGATAACAATGAAAAAAGTAACCTACTTGTAGATTCTCACTCTAGTTTAAATAGATGGAACATTAATTTTAAGTAGCTATTAAATATATATGGACTTAATAATGTTAAGCAGAAAATGCTATTAAAAAACTAAAAAGGTCGAAGTACTGATCAAGTTCTGGTGGAACTAATCCAAGCAAGAGTTCTGAGACCCACAAACACATTCAACCTTTTTAGAATGAGAAGGAAGGAATGTTTGATATTCCTGTTTATAAAAAGGAAGACAGAATGCTCACTAAAGCAATTACCAAACAATATCATTCTTATCAACTCCATACAAAATGTTATCCATCATTCTTCTCTCAAGTCTACACCTGCATGTGGTGCACCACAATTTTACAAATGAGGTTCTGGGAACTGAGTCAGGGGAGTGGTGGTGGGAGTACAACCATTACATTCAGTTTGGAAGAAATGCCACTAACAAAGTTTTGGTGCAGTTAAAGTTTATAGATGATTATTTTGTAATTTCATACCCTTTCACGTTCTATTTGTGCAATCTGCTGCATCAAGGAGCGAACGCCTTTCCTTATAATCTCTGGGTCTATATCTGCCATAACATCTCCTCGTCCATCACCATGCTCCTGAACTGCAACAAGAAGCTAATATGTAATATACTGCTTTTCACCATAAAAAGGAAATGTTTACAATTGAAATGTACTAAATGAATAATTCTCACTAGTGAGACAAGGCCAAGTTCATAATAAAATAATAATATAAATTGCAGAGTATGACAGTAGTGGCAACACATTAGATGGCCAGCAATAATTTACAGTGAAGAGGTGAGAAATTTTCCTTTTCATTGACACTTATATGGTGTTCCCAGTATTAAGAATGTAATATGACTTTTGAGCTTTTATTTCCTGCAGAACAGAAGTTCTTACTTCCAACACTGCCACACACATGAAGTCAAATTTACTGTGCCTGTTTTCCAAAAACTGGATGCAATGTATATCTGAACTGAGATGAAAGATTACGAACATGGCAAGAAACTAAATTATTCATTCAACAAAACGTGGTGATATACAACCACAGCATACTGTTTACTGGCCACAACCTTTAACACTCTCACAGGCTAGGCAGCCCACTGGCCTTTGTGAAAGTATATTTAGATTCCTTATGCAAGTTAATTCATCAATGCTATGGTGTAATTTAGCTTGTAGGCAATAATGATGATGATGATGATGATGATGATGACAACAACAACAACAACAATAATAATAATCATCCTATTGCACGTGGCATTAGTTCTTCTGTGTTAACATGATGAAACAAAGAATGTCAACAGAGAATAAATTCTACTTTTCTAAAGCGTAGAAGATCATCAATTATGAGTAAATGCACTATCTCATGTCAAGGAGATGATTATCAAAACATGGTTGTGCTGGTACACACAGTGCAAGGGCAATGGTCTGCAGAGGGAGCTAAATGGGGGTTTGAATTCTAAGATAGAAACATCATTTTTTCTAATTTCGCTATTGACAGTTTAATAAATCTATACCTTTAGCAGGACTCCATCTTCTTGAAGGACTCATAACTTTGTATGGCAAAGTGACACTACCATCAAGTTGTATTCCTGCAATTCTTCTGAGTGTGGATCCAACACTACTTAGTTTCTGCTCTGCTTCTTTCTTTGCTCCTTCCAACTGCAGTAACTGTGCATCCAAAGCACGTACTCGGCCCTCTGTTCCTCCCAAGCGAGCCTAAAACATGCCAACACTATTTAGTTTCTGCTGCTTTTCTTCTATACATCCAGACTGCCCTTAGCTCCACTCAACAAGCCCTGAAATCAGAATTAGTCATGCTATGTACTTTCCAATGCTTCATAATTATCACTGCCACTGATTCCATCCTCTTCCAACCACTCAAAATTCAACATAATACTATAAAGGCATAATGGCTGACCATAAAGTTGCTTTATAAGTTACAAGGCTTTTAAGCATTTAAATCTATAATATCTGACAAATTACATACTACCATAATGGAAGGATATACAACAGGTCTTAAAGACATATCACCATGGCTGTCAGGAACTAACAAGAGCAAACTGTTTCACATAAAAGTTTTAGATCTTATGAGATCTATATTTGAACTATGCTGTATAACCTGTTTTTAAGAGAACTTTAAAGTCTGATTTCAGTTTCATGCAATATAGGGATTATAATGAATTCAGAAAAATTAAAATTATATTTACTTGACTGTTAATGCTGACCACACCCTGGAATACCAAACTTTAGTAAACTGGAAAAATTATTACAAAAGGATGGTAAAGTGAAGGTACCTCCACTGCATTCCCTGAAAGATTAAGCAGAGCCATGAGAAACTTGTCCCAGCTACGATCCAAATCTGTAACCTCTCAAATACAAGGCAGGAGTTCTAAACACTACACAGAAACATACTGTGCCAGGGATTTGGTCACTGATATTCTCACAAGGTGTTATACAGTTACAGATTTAGGCACCTTAAGCTCCTGAATCTGCTGAGTAGCATCTGCCAGACAAACTTCCAAATTGTGTTTCTGATCTTCAAGCTTCCGATCTCTGCTACGACTATCTTCAAGTCGCACAAGCAATTCTTGTTCTCTGGCTCTCCAGCGCTCCTCTTCTTCATCTCCGCGTGAACGCATTCGACTTAACTCCTGTCTTGAAAGTTCGAGGCTTCCATCAAGCTCGACAATCTAAGCATAACAGAGCAAATGTGCCAAACATTTTAACTGAATAGTCTTTTATGATGCAAGCTTGTAAGCACCAAGTTCAGAAGTGTGAAACTTGGCTCTCTCACTCTGACGGACAAAGATTTGGGGTATTTGGGAACAAAGTGATGAAGAGAATATCTGGACCTTAGAGCAGACAAATTGAGAAAAAAGTGAAACTACACAAGGAGCTTCATCATATTTACTTGACAATTATTAGGATGATTAAACCAAACACTAGATGGGAAGGCATACAAAGAAAACAAGAAATGCATACAGATGTTACATGGAAAATCTCAAGGGAAGAGACCACTTGAGAGATATAGGCATAAATGAGAGAAAGTAAAATAAAGTTGTCCCTGGGTTTTCAGGTGTACTAATTCAGCAGCATGCCATGAATATGTACGGGAAGGTGGAGGTATACTTCCTCACATTCCCTGGTACCAACTGGATGGGAGGGCCTTTGCTGATCTGTTCAAAGTTGTAGAGAAAACTCCCTGTCTTGCCCACAGTAGAACACCAGTTGTTCAATACTGACAGGTTTTGAAAATGTGGGCAGCTGGAGAGAAGTGTCAATTATTGTCTTTTGGGTTGTAATGCTGTGTGTCTTGTAAGTGACCAGCATCTGCCCACTTCACAAGTGGCTTCACTTCACTATGTGCAAGCCGAATATCATTTCCCAAGATTCTTTGGTCACATACTTATGACTTGCTATTGAGATGTCAGACCCTGACCTGGCCGATTGACTATATCACATTTGAAAAGAGCTCACACATGTTCTCAGACACCAGAGCCAGTGACAGAGACACTGTAACAAATTCCAGCAGCTACATAAAGCTAAACATCTTTCTCCCCCATTCTATGAACAGCAAGACTTATGACAGCCATTGCCAGTTTGCCATTGGATTATGCTATGCATTAACCCTATCAAAAGGTCTGAACTATGTTGCGTCCCCTGTGGTGCTGTGCACTGAGAACATGATTACTGGTAACCACTTAAAAGACTACACAGTGCCACAATCCAGAAGACCCTCACATATCTCTGGAATGTAGCAGCTCCAGAATACATTCCAAAGGCAGACTTTTCTGAATAACTGAGTAACCTGCCTGTTTCTTGAGCTGATGCAATTCCTGTTGTGTTCTTTCCCTCTCCTCACTTTCTGAGGCAAGGCGTGCCTGCAGTTCCTTCTCCTCATTCTGCATCTGAGTGCTGGTAGCATGTGACCTCTGTAACTCCTCTTGTGTATTTTGTAACTGATGGGACATCTGTAGCTGCTGCCGCTCCAAGTCTCGAATCTGTCCTTGAAGACGTGTACGTTCCCCATCCAGACCGGTCTTCGAGTCTTCCAATGCTGTAATACATCAGTACATGAAGAATAAAAATTTACAAGCATGAAATCTCAAGAGGCATAAACAGAAGTATGTGCAGAACAGGGATAACCATATCCACGTGACTATCATCATGGTTTGAGCAACAGGATGGCAAAGCAAGTGCTCATCAACCAGAAAACCATATGAGCAGCAGCATTCACTCTATAGTTTTCCATGCACGTTGCTCACGCTGTTGGTACAACAAATGTATGCTATTTTGAATAATACTGCTGAGTAGAGACTGCACAGAGCACATCATACCAACCTGCTGCTTCAACATCTCCTTTAAGATGCCCAGACAACCAACATGAACACCACAACCTGGAAAGTAGACTTTCTGCTCCTAGACTATGAAGGGCCAAGGGTAGATTAACTTAAGTTTAAGAATGACCAGCCAAAAATAGCTTCATAAATAACCGCAAGTGCATTTGCTGAAGAAAGTTATGGAACAGAATTGACTGATGAACAAGTGTTTGTTACGACAAAGGTTCTGGAAAATGTTTTCATTTGAAACAACATTCTCAGATAAGTAATGTTAAGAAACTGTCTGAGAAATTATTTTGTTTAGTATAATAAGTACTTGTTTTAGGCCATACTCATTCTATTGAAAACATTTTACACTGTGTTTGTGCACTGCAGACAGTCGAAGGAACTTTTTCTTGTACAAAACAAATCCTAATACATGGTCCATTGTATGTAAATACAAGAAAATTTTTAACTTTCAGGTTCAGATGATAAAGATGCTGAGAATGTTACATTATTCTTTATTGTCATACAACTGCACTACAGATACTGATGCTACCTATACTAAAAATGAGTACTTTGTACCTCTGACAAGGTAACCATTCATCACAGAGAAAGTTTTTTTCATGTTTATATGATGACTCCTTTTCCTTCAGTTTTTAAATTAGCAAAAATACTCAACATACAATCTGGTACTTTCTACAGTGCCTAGTAACTTACTAGAAATTTTCTGGAAAGCTTCTTCCAGAGCCCTTCCTTGCTCTCTCTTCTCTCCTTCAATCCTTTTCACATAGTCTCGGAGCTCCTTATTAGAACTACTGTACTTCTCCTTTTCATAGTTGCTGTCTGCCAGTTGTCTCCGTATGTCAGTCAGCTCCTTACGCAACACTTCACTGGTGTTTTCAGCTGCAGAAGATAGTTTGCGGATATAATACAAGTACTCAACAATACAAAGTATGTTATTATTAGCAGAAAAGCTTTCGGGTTACTAATTTCTTCCTTATCCTCGCACACATTCACAGCTGAGCATTCAGATCCTCAGTGGACCAAACAGCCATGTATAAACAGACTAAGACAAGTTATCTGAATTTTGAAAACAATTTCCTAACTGAATGTACATCAAAAACTTATAAATATATATAGGATTTTAAGTTTTCATGGTAATGTGAATTTAGATAATAGTCTTATAGGCTGCTGCACCATGTAGACTTCTGGTTTTATATAAATGCCGTGGAAGAACATTGGTATATGATCAGAAAATACATAGCATAACAACCCACACCACTAACTAGACTGATACACAGTTTGGTTTCCCAAAGTCTGTACTATAACCTGTAAAAGTCTTGTAACAAGAAATTAATATTTTAAAGTCTGAAGCTAAAATTTTTCAAAACATCTTTAATGCTGTAAGAATTAATTTGCTTGAGGTTAACTGTTGGAAATGAATGTGTTAAGCAGAGATTCTGAGATGAGCTAATAATCCTTTTGCTCTGCTTAACTGTACATTGCATTGTACACCCATATGGAATCTTCTTTATGAGTTCAGAACAGTCACAATCCAGTTTACTTTCCAAAGCCTGACTGGCAGACCTGTAGTATGGGGCTAAAATAACCTATTATAGTATAATAAAGATTAAAAACTACTAGCAAAGATAAATGGTAAACACTTTGATACCCAATAAAGCAGAACAATGACAAAGAGAATAGTAACACTTTTTCCATCTCTACATCTTCCAAGTCTTCTCTCAGGATAGTATAGGATCCATTGATGAATTTTGTGAACACAGTTATGAACATTCAGGTTCCAGAAAATCAAGAAATTTGACTATCTGAATAACATGCTCTTTTTCAAGGAAGATCTGCACATAAAGTTTAATTGATCAGATTGCTCACAAACCTTCTTTCAGTTTACGTGAAGTTTCTTGCAGCTGGCTCTGGTTTGCATCAAGACGATCCTCAGCAAGATGAAGCTGCACTTTCAGCTCCTCACACTCCTGCTGCACAACATCCCTTTCCTTGTGCACCTCCCCAAGTTTACCTTCTAGTCGGTTTCTCTCTTCCTCGGCCTTTAACCTAGAGATTACAATTACCCATACACCAAGATAACTTTTGTCCAAACATTCACAGACTCTTGGCATGCATGTTACAGGAATATTCTGCAAGTTACTGAAAACTCTTGAAATACATATAATAATCACTTGAAGGGCAGGCACATACAGTTACATTTATACTGGTATGAGTCATTTAAAAAATATCATGTTTTATTTTGGCTTCAAAAAAGCAAGGGTATTTATTATTTATTTATTTATTCATCAAAATTTATTCAGTAGTTCTGGAGATGAAATATGCAGATGGACCATATAATTTCCACATCATGTGTTCAGCTTACACACTCCATGCAAATAAAGCATAATATGTAGAGACATAATTCTATACACTTGCACTTTAATTTTTAGTTAGAAGCATCACATATGACATTATAGCATAACAAACAACATAAACAACAAATCATGATGTCAGGTCTGTAATGATGGTGGAGAGTTAACAATTTGTCAATGAAGAGATCTAATGTTGAAGCAATGACGTACTTGCAGTATCACTTTCTGAATTTGGTTATTTCATGCTACTGCAAAACCCCCTCAGATGTGATTATTTAGCACCCAATAAGGTGTATTTCGCTAATAAAAAGAAAAGCTATGGTAGAAAGTGGAAGTGGCTTACTTTTAAAGACACTATTATGTCATTCATTCTGAGAGGCTGAAGATCACAAACACCCCAATCTCCCACAAAATTGGGGAAAAATAAAACAAATAAATAAACAATAAAATAAAAAACACCACTTCAGACCAGATACTTTTCAACTGCAAGTCATACTTGTTACCACTGTCCAACAGCGTCTCTTGCCTCACATTCACAAATAAGAGCAATGGACAGATATTTAATTAAATTGAGAAATCTCAGAACTGCAGTTCAGGGCTTTTTCCTGAAGGAAATGAGTCCTCGGTTAGGAACCCCTGTAACTACATACATGCAGAAATGAGACACATGCAGTTGTCCAATTAAGTTACAAACATCAAAATTGTACACAATAATTAACCAATTTTCATGAAACGTGGTTCAAACACACACCAGTTCAGATGATCCCAGTCTGGTAAATTACCAACATGGCAGCAATATGAAATTGGGTGCAGCAGTAGCACCATTCAATACAGTATCCTGATGTTTTCTGAGTTAAAGTGATCTCAAATATACATGTAACCATCTTCGTCCTCAACCTCAGGGTATTTTGAAACATTTGTGTTTAGCCTTTCAACCACCTGACATGGCAGGTAGCCCAAGAAGAATTTATTATACTTAGCTTCAGATCATACAAAATTGTCCTATGTTATTTCTTTGTATAATTATTGATACTTTCTTGACTGCAAAGGTCATGTTGTATTAAATATGTTCTGTGTCTAAACAACATACCATAAAAATGGGATGTAAAAGGGAATGAGATAGCAGAGGTAAAGTTCCATAAGCATTCCTAACATTTTCCTTACATAGATGTTAGTGACCAGCTTCACATTCCAGGCATTTTACTCCCATGCAAAGAGTCCCCCAGTAGCAACTAGATAGGGGACTGGACTGAATAAGAAACAGAGAAGGATGTGGAAGAAAATGGTATGCAAGGCACAATCCAATAATGCACCTCGAGGTCTGAGTAAAATGACACAAGTTTCCAGTCAGCTGGACTTTGCCCCTGGGGAAAGGATCTCCACTGTCCATTGGATACGAGGCTGAGTGGGTCCCACAGCCAATTTGGATGCAGAGGCTAGAAGAAAAATCCTTTGCTCCTGCTGGGGATCAAACCCTGGTCATCCAGTCTGTAGTCAGGCACTATACTGATGGAGCTACCCTGGCTCATCAGACAATTTTCATAACACTGAAAATACTATTAATATGGCATCTGTTTCAACAGATGTTTCACTGTGAAGTAAAAACCAACCTGCTCTCTTCCAGTCTTGTTTTAAAGCGGGCAAGTTCATCTCGAAGTTGGTTGATGTTACCACGATCCTGTTCTGCTCTTGTTGTTGCATCCCTTCGCAGTCGATCTAGAGCACTGTGCTCCTCTTCCAGCTCTCTCTGAACACCGTCCATTCTCTCTTGCAAAGCTTGCTGGTCATGGTGAGCTACAAGAATCAAAGCTAGAGGTGTGAGGAAGCAGGTATTTATTTCATTTTCCTGTAATTTACTGTTCATTGTCATTCTGATTTAAAGGTATTTGTAGCCAGATTCTGTCTGAATATGACTACAAATAATTTTATTTAAACAACACATACTTTAGAAACATTACTGTTTTTTAAAGTATACCAATGACTTATACAAATTATGAATTACTATGTTAGCCCTTCATTTAAAAGGGCTGTTTGCAAAGACTTGGTGTGCGCACAGACATGTGCGTAATTTTCATCATAACTGGAACACGGCTCTCACAGTAGTCAGTGATGGGGAACAGTTAAGGTAACAGTGACAAAAACTAACAGTGAAGTATCAGTGTTTGAAGGTGTTCAAACCATAACACACACACATGCAAACACAACAAAATCCTGTGTCTTGTCAGAAACTTAAAATTATAGGCATTTAACAGAGGAGTTTCTAGTGCTTATTGGTTCTTGGTTTATTTAGTGACTCATTACTGACTTCATAAGTTATATATCATCAAGAAACAGATAATTATGAATTAAGAACGTGAAAGGAAGCAATTATGGGCTATTTAAAGATACGCTCATATAATTTGCTCGCACAGACTGCAAAGAAACATGAAAAAACTCGATCTGAACAGCCAACCAGCAACACAGAAGACCACATTTCATGAAGATTTCTGTCTTCATATATTCATATTCATCGCCCTGATGACGGAGGCAGTATGACCTCTGAAACGTTGGTTAACATCGACCAGACTACACAGCGCAACAACCCAGAAGACAGAAATCTTCATACTCACCGCTGTGAAAACCTCAAATCTTACACCACAATTCATATTTACACCACCATGAGAACCTCAAATCACTAATTTGATTGTTGATCCCAGTACCAAATTTCAATTAAATCCATTCAGTAGTTTCATAGTTGAAACATATTCTAATTATGCATTTACTTTATTCACTCCATGTAAAGAGACACAAATGTCTGTCTGCTTACCAAGGAGCAGAGCTTGCTGCTTATCATTCTCTGCTCTAAGCAGAACTTCTTCATGCTGCTGACAAATATTCTCAATGTGCTGCTGTAGAGTTTCTATCCTCTCTTGGAGCTGCTGGATCTCACCATCTTTCTCTCCTCCCATCTGCTGAACTGTCTGCTGTAACCTCTTCTCTAACGAGATTCTGATATGTTCCTGTCCGAAAAGACATAAGCTGAATGCAATGATGTGGTATCACACACTCGGTTATTGCAGAAATTATACTGTACTCTAAATTATCCTGCGGTTTTAAGAAGGCTCTGTTCTGAGTTGTCATGCCATGAAGTCTGGTAGTTTACCAATGTTTAAGAGGCAGCAAGGATCTCTAAAATATCTGTAAACTTCTATCAAACATAGCGCTACAACCAAAAAGACAGCTGTCTTTGTACTCACCACCCTGAGCACCTCAAATCCTACTATAAATTGGTTATATTTTCAAGTACAGTGGTCTGTATCTTCTTTCATTCTTGTGTCCATTTCTTAACTGTACCGTGTTTGCTGTACCTCTACTTATACTTCTTAATATCAGGATCTATGCAAGCCACATACTATAACTTACCTACCAGTCTAACAATACAGACTTCTTTGCAGGGTCAAGTGCCTCAACCATGTCCCTATTGGTGTACAGAAGCAAAAACTTACCCTTTCCTCTGTAAGTTTCCTCACAGTTTCCTCATGTTGTTTCTTGAGGTTGGTAATGACCTGCTGGAACTCCACCTCTTGTGCACCAGCCTGCTGAGTCAATGAAGCCTTCGTCTCTTGTGCTCGTTTTTCAGAAGCCTCCAGGTCACGAGTCAGTCGACATACTTGGCCTTTCAAAGACTCCTGTTTCACCAGCAAATCCTGTTGATCTTTTTCTAGTTGAATGCGTGTATTATCAGTAGCCGCCAAGTTTGTTTGTGTATCAAACAGAACTCCTTCCAGAGCTTCTTTCTCACTTCGTACTGAAGCAAACTGTTCCTGCAACCGCTGAAGTTCCTTCTCATTTGCTTCCAAAAGAACCTGCATGAAAATTGAAAGTTCACAGCAGAACTTATAAATACTTTTGCTTCCCAACTTCCTGACTTGAAAAATGATCCCACCAATGAAGAGTTTAGTACAGTTAACAGACACACTGGATTTGCGTTTACCTGTTTTTCTTCTTTGTCTTTCACAAGATCCTCCAAGTCACGATTGAGGCGAGCATTAGTCTCATTGGCTTGCTCCAATCTTTGTCTTATTCTCATCATTTCTTCATTCAATGCCTCTTTCTTACGAGCTAGTGACGACAGCTGGTTACTTAGATCTCCCCTTTCCCTAGACACTTGGCCCAATTCTAGTTCCACCTGTAAGACGCATGAAGAAGTGTATCAGCATGATGCATGATTCTCAGAGCAAACAATGATTATTTCCTCAAGCAAAAATGAACAACTGATTTTTATAATGGAGAAGTGTGCTAGTTTGTTTGAGGTAAGAACTGAATTTTCAGATATTATTTAGATAAATTTAATCTTCAAAGGGTTAAATCCAAACAAAAAGTATAAAGCATTAAATTTCTCAACAATAATATTTTAAGTAAAGTACTTACTTTCTCTTTCTCAATCTCCAGGAACTTCAGTTTTTCCTGGAGGGAGACTTTGTCTGACTCCAGGTCCAGGCGTGTTTGCTCAGCCTGAAGTAATTCTTTCCTGAGAGACCCTAAGTCATTCTGCTGGTCAGCACACTGGCTCTGAAGAGAAGCCTTCTCCTCCCCAATCTGCACCCATATTAATAATTAACAATTCTGTATCAACTACTCAAATTACTTTATAATGGCAACAAATAAAGAACTAAGAACTATATTAATAAAAGCTAAAACTGTCCCTGTGCCTAAGCACCATATTATAAAGATGTATAGGGAGCATGCAGGTGAAGCTCCAAACATTCTAGATCGCAGTATCTCCTTCAGGTTGTCTGCTTCACCGTCCAGTTATGTTATCCCTATTACTTACACAGCCTCTAGTACCCATCTGTTAAGAAGTTGAATGGATCCCAGTCTTAACATATGTGATGGTAAGAACATAAATGCCATAATTCTCACTGGGATTTATCACATAAATCACAAGAAAACATAGAAAGTCCAAGAAAAAAAAAAAGAGAACACGGGGAAAACATAAGTAATGAGAGAAGGATAATATTATCAGAACAGGTAATGTGTGTAGCCAAAAACCCTGTATTTGTTCCTAATTCTGAGAACAACAACGAGATATATATATATAAAGGGAACACAGGGCCAAGACCACAGTGATTTGGAGGGATTTATGCAGAAACTTGAAATAATGGACAGTTACAAAACATTTTGGGTTGTAGCACTATGTACTCTGGTAGAAAATGACAAGTGTTTCAGAGGTCCTTGCTGTCTCCATTAACAGGGCAATCATTCATCTCTCATATCCCTGCAGATGAACAAGACCGTAAGGCCCTCTGAAATGTTTGTGAACTACTACCTGACTATATGGTGCTACAATCAAGAAGACAGCCATCTTCAAATTCACCACCATGAGAACCTCAAATCCTACTGAGAATGAAGAATATATGAAAACAAAACACACCCAGAAGAATCAGGATGAGGAGAAGGAAAAACAAAAGGATATGGGAAGAAGAAGAAACAAAAATGAAGATGAGGAAGCAGTACAGAAGTGAATGAAACTGAAGATGACAAGATAAAGAATAAGAAGAAAAGTCTCACCTTTCTAACTTCATCTTGTAATCTCTTCTTATCTTGTTCCAAGCTCATGCACACTGTTTCCAGCTTCGTTAATGTCTCTTGGACATCGGATTTCTCCAGTAGAGTGCGCTCCAATTCCAACTCCATATCTCCTATCGTCACAATCAACAAAACTGCCTTTAATTTTCACAGCACTTACATGCCATAATTTAACATTCATGTACTATTATGTACATTAAATCAGCAGTTTCCAAACTGTGTACCAGAGGCCTATGGGAGTTCTGCAGAATCCATTACAATTGATAATTATATCATAATTTAATATGTTTATGCCCAAAAGTAATAATTTGTCATTCATAAGTACCATAAATGACACTTTAAGTGCATTGCTGTTACACATAAATGCTACAATAAGTAAATTTAGTTAGAGAATAATTTGGATAAGCTACTCATTTAACAAAGATTAACATAGCATGTTGGTATCTGCTAGTCAGAACTTACATAGATCTTTTATGAAGCGAAAATATAACGGCACAAAGCACAATGCATGACCTGTAGTTTTTAATGTATTGTTATTAATTTGCACAGTTCAGCATTGTCTACTTTGATGTAATTAAGTAATATGCAAAGATCACTCATTATAGTGTATGTCTTTTTCACATTTGCAGTTCTTGAAATTGTTGTGGAATTCTGCAAACACATTTTATGGACAAAAGGGTAGCACAGAAAAGAAAGCAAGGGAAACAAACACTGTATTATAATTGCACCTTTACTCTTCTCTGTTTGAGCTATAAGATCATCTGATTCCATCTTCTGTTGCTCCAGCATGTCATGAGAGAGGTATGCTTTGTTCATGTCCTCTCTTAGGGTGAGCAGTTCTTCCCTAAGTCGACTGCACCTCTCTTCCTCAGCTCTCAAATTCATTTCCCTGTAATTTAGTATAATTTTCCATTTTAGGCCTCAGAATAAGCAGCTGTACACATTTACTTTCATGACAGATGCTTCCGGTGTCTCAAACTTCTCTTACATAATTCAATGACAATGTGTTATAGTATTAATCTGCATATTCAACTAATATTAGCATAAACATAGAGTGAAAAGATTCTGCACTGACCACAAACACACACATTCTGAGGGTGATAAACACATGGCTGCAAACTGGAGCTATTATGAAAAGCAAAAAAGAACAATTTTGAACAACAAATGTGCTTAAAGAGTGTGAATCATAGATTACATTGATTGAAAAATATGTAAGATATGAAAGAGAACATCGAATTTGAGAAGTGAATGGAAATATTTACCAGAAACTGAAAGCATCTTTAATAAGTCAGGGGTGTAACATATATGTACATAAGCACCATTTTTGGAATGTTACATTTTTATGAAGCTATTTTATGATTTCTATATCTCTTTATGCCCAATCTTTACTTTACTTTCACCACTCACAATTTTTTATACCATAACAAAACTTGAGTTAAAAAGGGATAAAGTGTTACCAAAGTCAAACAATATCTTTTAGAAATGACAAAAGACACTGCACATTACATACAATCAAAAATGCAGACACAAAACAAACTAAATACTTATTCTGTATGTAAAAATGGTTAAATTATCTTAACAGAATTCATTAACACTCCTAAAACTTTTTATTACAAATTCAAAGGACATACAGATACAAGATCATACAAAAAATTAATAGAAGCCAGAACAGGCTCTGAGCTTAATCTATGGAAAATTAGAGATAAAATGGTAGAAAAGGCGTGGAGAACATAAAAAAATCAGACAATGGGAAAGATATCATAATTCAAAACTCATGACAGAGCATGCAAATCTGCATAAGAATTTGGAAATGAGATGGGAATAAACAAGAGTCTAAGGGGATTTTAGAAAATATTTGTACGACATCTGTACTACCTCCAGGGTTAAGAATAAACTTCAACTTTTATAGGCATGTACATCAACTAACAGCACATGCACAAAATTACATTATCCCCTTGTTTTTCCAAACTGGACCTTAATGTAATAGCCTATTTGGAGGAACCATCCCACAAGTCCATCCAGAAGGACTGAGGAGAACAATAATACAATAATCTGAGGCAAAATAGCCGGTAACATGCATTAGATTTGGCTAAGCATCTTGTAAATAAAAATGTGTAGCCATATCTGTGATAGATGAAGTATGAACAGGACTGGTGAAATGTTGGGGAAGGGAGAGAAATATGGTAAACTACACTCTAACAGTTTTATTTTATTCCTTATCAATAGCCACATTCTAAGACAGCTTAGCATCTGTTTGTGATATTATCATCTAATTTGTAGTAACAAAACCACCAAAAATGCAAACTTATTACAACTGCTCCCAGGGTTTCAGTTAACCATACATAAAAAAATTATGTTTAATTTATCAACCAATTAATTTTAATATCTCACATTACTTAAACACACCTGATTTCTGCATCTTTAGCCACACGGTTGAGTTCAGTCTGTAAGAACAGTTTTTCGTCTTCCAAATTGTCTGACACTTTCTGCAGTTTTGCATTTGCTTTTAGAAGTTTCTCATAATCAGCATTAAGAGTTTCAATCTGCAAAATGGAACATAAACGCAAACACTTGCTTAATCATTTATTTAATTCTTGCACATTTATGTCCAGAAAACAGTAGTAGTTTTACCAGTTTTGTAACAAACTAACTAAACTTAATTTAATGAAATTTACTAGTTCACTGGTTGTAGAACCAAGGGTTCAACACTGCTTATACCAGTCTGCTACTGAACAAAATCTTCAGCTAGTTTCATCCACTTCACAAACCATGTTTCCTTGTCAGTCTTCTGAGTGGTTGCATTCTTACATAATTTAAAAACATATACTTTCTTTTCTGAAAATGGTATCATAACATACATTCCAACATATTTATGATACAAAAGACCTCTGGATTATACTGTCACAAGCCTGCTACATTAGCACAGCTGGCCTCATGTTACAGAAGCTTCTAGTAACGTCCAAATTATGGCAGAGAGCTACAGGAGGCAAGGGTTTAGATGTAAGGAATGCATGGCCAGCTAGATCACATGCAAGCAGTGACACTAGTTTGATAAACATTAAAGTCACCACAAAGGGTAGTTAAATACTGCAATTGCACTCATGTCCCAAGCTGCATCATAGTAGGTTTTACTATTCGAAGCACCATAATCCACAAACTTAACTCACCATTGCATTGATTTCCATTCTGTTCTTGTCCAAAGCATTTTTCTCACTTCGAACAGAATCAAGAGATTTCTGCAGCAAATCTTTCTCCTGCATCAGTTGTGAGCAATGGGAACGGCAGGAATCAAGCTGCGCTGTCAATTCTCCCACTTTAGTTTCTAGCGACTGTTGACTATCTTCAGCATTTTCACACTGTTTCCTAAAAAGTATCAGCTGTTCCTTGCTGGACTGAAGCTTCACCTGATGTAAAAATTTTCAGAGCACGGTTAATTAATTAATTGAAAGGAAATAAGAAGCAGGATAGAAAGAGGGGTACAGAGAGAGAGAGAGATAGGTATACAGATAAAGAGAGAGGAAAAGAATGATAAGGATGGGAACAGAGAAAAAGTAAAATATTTAGGATACATTTTTCATTAAACTGAATGCCTAGCTAAAGATTCACAATCTATTGCAGATCTGGGGCCACATTCAAACTTTTTTATCAACTCACAGGCAACGAGGGCTATTTATTCAAATATCATAGCAATTTATTAAAAATGCAATAGCTTACTATTACAAACAGGTTCACATAAAACCCAGTGATTTTCTTTACCAAAATTAGTCAAAAAAAAAGATATCTGACAACGCTTTCACTTCAGCAATCTTTCAACATCAGGCTGAATTTCTGTTGCTGTCATTCGAATATATCCCTCCAAGTGTTCGTTAGGAAGACACATCCAAATTCTTGATTTTATGTTCCTCATTAAACTGAACAATTACTCACACAGAAAGGCAGAGCCAAATATGTTAACAAAGTGTATTTTCTGATATCAGGGAACTATTTTTCATCATACAGAGTGACACAATATTACAGCACGTTTGCAAACAACATAAGCCACATTCGCAGGCCGCAGGCTGAAAACCTCTGGCCTAGGCTGAGTTGTTTCCATTTTATTAAAATTTAGTCCTGATTAAAATGCTAATGCTACATAGGCCAATAACATACTTAGTTTAACACTACAGGCAGCACGCATAGTCTGAATATGTCACTCAGTTTGACACCGAAAGGGTTAGGGTAAAGTCTGAGTTCATGCAGATTAAAAATTTTGTGTGTTCACACATTCCTAAAAATAAACACCTCATAGCTATAAAAAAATAAGAAATTAAGAAACAGTAATGATCTATTCTGCTATTCAGAAGTCATCTTACCAACCTGTAACTCATGAATTTGTAGTTGGTATTTGTGTAGTGAGGCTTGGACAGCAGAGATGGTGCTTTCAGCAAAAGCTGGAGAAGTGGGTGTGCGCATAGCTCTTTTTGGCGATCTGAATACAGAAAAATATGGCAGGATGATAGAACAAAACACTGAATCTATGACTCTAAAACTGTATTTCATGAAACCATGAATGTTAAGAAAAGGGCTTCAGATGATTCAATTGATTTCAGAATAAAATAATATTCTATTAAAACAATAAATCAAATGCCATTTCTGTAGTCATGGATAAGATAGCCGTTTTATGGTCAGATATGAGATGGCAAATGATGACAGAATAGAGACCACCAAAAGCATAATAGGAAAAGCTGTCAGTTTGCAGAAATATTCCCTGAAGCTGAGAAAGCTACATGAAAAGCGGCTAGGACAAACAAAAAAATGCTGACCAGACCCCGGGATTGTTTGACATGCCAGAATCCACAACAGTTAACTTTGCCAGGGAATAAGCCCTGAAGCTGAGAAAGCTACATGAAAAACGGCTAGGACAAACAAAAAAATGCAGACCAGACAACAGTTAACTTTGCCAGGGAATAAACTTTGCAGATTAAAACTATAGGAGCCAAGAAAGAACGCTGCATCCTAATGTCAGCTATCACAACCAGCAGAAAAAGTCACCTCCCTATGTGGTATTTAAATGCAAGACGATGGCAAAGAAGTTACCCCTTGTTATTTAGTAACTAAGATATTAAATGAAATTCTGGAAGAAGTTGGAACCATTTGAGACCAAATGGTAATTATATGTACTACCTGCTTTTACATTCAGTAACAGCATTCTGCTCATAGATTGTATTTATGGGTGTCATTATTCTCAGAATAAGCTGCATCAATCATTTGATCTTTGTAATTGGGATGGTTTGTTTTCTTTAGGGTAAGAAGTGAATGTTTAAATATTATTTAGACAAACTTTGGAACCAAAGGGTTAACTGCCGTTAGCTTCCTCAGAGGCACAAGTTTGCTTTGAGGGAAGCAATATGATAAGGATGTTTCCAATACAATTTTTAGATTATAATAAGATTCATATGTCATTTACCAATTTTCTTCTAATTTGTTTGAAAATCCATAATTTCAGTTTAAAATAAAATAATTGGATACACTAGAAATAAAGACATTCCTAACAAGAATCACTGTACAGAAAACCATCCGCCTGAGTCTGGGGTCCAGTTACTGTACCCAAAACTTTCCACGGTTTGTACAAAATGAAAGTGCAATGAGGCAGGTATTTACCGTTGAGGTACTGGACCAGCAGGAGTTAGGTGCAGGTGTGTAGCTGCATGAGACTGTTCAGCATCTCGGCTCTCTGCATCCTGAATCACAGCGTGTGCAATGTCACGCAGAGCATTCTGCAACAATTCCACTTCTTCCTGCATATGAATCACTTGACCCACTTCATGTTCTGCCTCCCCACACCTCTCCTCCTGTGAAGTTTCACATTTAATGAGCAGAAGCATCAACACAATGCAGAGCTGCTGCATCACTCCGCCATAACATATCTCATCATGTAAGAAAAATCTAAACTCAGTAGTAAAACTAGGGAATTAGGAAGGTGATTATTTCTTTGTGCAGTTTCAACTTATTACATTATATTCTATCCAAGCTCCAAATTAAGTTGGATCCGTGCACTGTAGTAAGTTGTGTACTCAAGTTATGAATGGAAAAGAAAGTCTTCAGATACAAGGGTAGCTGCAAATATGTTGAGTAACAGTTGTAAGTGGCTGACGTCATATCACTAGAAGCCACCACTTCCTATTTCCTAATAATCATAGCACCAAGATGACAGTTTTGTAAATTTCCAAGGTGAGAGCAATATTACTGCTACTTGATAAAGGATGTTGAGATTTTGTGTAGCAACAGATCTTTGAAAAATGTGTAAAATGTAAAGCAACAAACACAGTGAATGTATCAATCCACAATAACTTTCCATTTAAGTTAGACATCATAAATTTATATAAATGGAAAACATACATACAAATTTTGTACAAAACATGTTAATAAAACATGACCATGAGACCAAATTTTTGTCATATCAAACAAAATTAAAGTAAAAGAAATATGTACCTCTGGAAATACCATATATATAAATAGATTATTAACTGTAGAAGTAAAAAGACAAAGATGCCACTGTGCTTAATAAAGTACCATGCTATGAAGATGTATATCTCCATGCATTCTTAGATGCAGCAATAGATGGAGGTAATCAGCTTCTCACCCTGCCCATTTTCCTCCCAGGAAAAGAGTCCCTGGCACCCATCAGATGAGACTAAGCATGCCCCCAGAGATGGCCTAGACATTGTGGGAAAAATCTGAAGCTGAATCTTCCTGGTAATTCAGCTTTCAGTCTACTCACTGTACCAACTAAGTCGCTGTGACTCTCATGAGACTAAGCATGCCCCCAGAGATGGTCTAGACATTGTGGGAGAAATCTGAAGCTGAATCTTCCTGGTCATTCAGCCTTCAGTCTACTCACTGTATCAACTAAGTCGCTGTGACTCTGGATCATTAATATATAATATTACTGCTAAGCTCATGATACAGACTGGAACATTTGAAGAAGGACAGAGCATCTGAGATGCTTGAGTTTCTGATTCAAGATGAAAATGTTTCACCCACATAAAAACATTTCTTGGGAAAGGTGCCCGAACACATAATAACCATTAATCACCATCCTTATGGACAAATAAACTTTAACTGTACCACTGCACACACACTTTATGCATGAACTGTGTTTAGGGAAACTCACCCAAATGATAACAAATAACAGGACAGCATTTCATTGCTCCCTGACCAGCACGTTCATTCCGGTCATCACAATGTATTAATACCTACAGGTTCGAAAACATCAAAACAAAAGAATGCCAATGAACCCTACTGCAAGTCAGTTTAATTCATTCATATCACAAATGCCAATTGGATCCCAAAATTTATAGGAACCTCAATTTTTCTAATTATTGAACATTCTTTAATTGTAATTTTACCAGATTTTATTATTTCAGTATCCAACGACACAATAAGAGATGAGGGATTCCTTCACTAAGAGTGTGCTGGGTTTTAGTTTCTGAAGAAAGATTATGTGTTGTGCAGTCAATCAATTAATATCCAGTGATCCTTAAACACCAGCATAAGTTTAAACTTCCTAATTACAATTTGTTGTTGATGTATGTAATACCAACCAAATTCTGAATTTCTCTTAGCAGGTGTTGAATTCTCTCTTCTTTTTGTCTCGCTTCAAACAATGTTGCCTCATGCTGAGTCTGGAGAGAATGAATCTGTGATTTCAAATCTGCTGCTTCCCGTTCATGCTGTATCTGCTGCTGCCCCTGAAGTCATGTCAGCAGAGTATCTAAGTAATTCTTCATGACAGATAAAATTCCGAAAGAAAACTACAGAGAAAGCTGAGAAATTTCACCAGACTTTTAGAAACATAACTTGGAATTTGGAAATTTCAGAAAAGGTTACATAAACTGTATTGTGTGCTTATTCTGAATAATGCAGCAAAACCTTGGACAGATAAGCAGATTAAAAGTGGTTAAGATTAAATATTTACAGAACATTAAAAAAATTAACACGAGACAAAATTCAAAACCATGACACAGGCAAAATCTGAAAACATAAACACTGCAAGAATTTTTTTTACACAAATTTCATTACAATTGTAGCAATGACTATGTCACCACCATCCTGTTATTTATAATGCTAATGTTTGGTAGTTATCGCCTTCTGACCAATTAAGGAAATGGGTCTCATTGGGGAAGATTCATATTTATTTAATGACATTATATATATAAAATGTGTAGGTTATATAATGCTGGGTGACAAGATGTTTGTGATGGATCAAGAATGTAGAAGCAGTCATGTTCAAACAACTATTCCAGTACTTACTTGGTGGTATTGTGGAAAAGCACTGTGGATTTGCAAAATCTTTATTTATCTTCTTGTTTGATGGCAGTAACTAATGAGCCATTCAAGCTACGTACAATAAATTTTATACGGTTATATGTCATATACATATCTACACATCTGGTATAAAACATTCTTCAAATTTCAAAATTACAAGCATGGGTGTCATGCAAAACTTAGAGGCACAGACCACTTTGGAGTCCTAAGCATAGATGGGAGGACAATATTAAAGTGGATCTTAATGAAACAGAGTAAAAACTGAATGATTAAGGCTCACAATTGTGCAATGCTAACCTCTGTCTTACTGGTTTCCTTCATGACATTAATAATTCCACTGCATGCATTGGTTATTTCTTGAGTTGCTGATGACATTTCAGAGTTCAGTTTGGACATATCTCTCTCTGTTGTCGATTTCATCTCAGCAAATATCCTCTTGACAGAGACAACATCTCGCCAGACATTCAAAAGTCTGTTGTGTTCCATAGTATAATAATCGTTGAAAGCCTAAAATCAATGAAATTTCAATCATCTATGTTTTGTAATACGCATCAGTGAATGTGTAAAATTCACACACATAATATGAACTTGTAGGGGTTCAAACCAAATCTCACAAACAAAAACAGTCTTTAACATAATATAAATTTGTAAATGAAAGTTTATTAGGAAATTAGTAACTGGAATTTGCTTCTGAGCCTCCTTCTGGTTTTTTGCGACAAGGTCAAGCCAGTGCCTGAAAAGTAGTGTCTGTAGCAAAGCAGTACATAAAAAGTATAAGATATGTGGTGGGGGAGTGTGATTCATTATTCTACATGCTAAGTTGACTATCAATAAAATGGAGCATTTTGGCACTGGGTGTTGACCGACCTGGATTTTGAGCTACTATTAAGACTGATATCTAGTGCATTACATCTCTCGAAGCCCTACAGGATACACCGACTCTGCTGTCAGTCATCCACTTACATAAGGCAGCAGAGAGCATATTAAGGGCACAATACCTGCTCCTCCTCCTTCCATTCATCCTCTTTAATCAACATTTCCTCTCGCAGCTGTTCCCAATCATTAGTCAGCTTCTGTAGGTCTGATGTGAGGGCATCATTGGTCTGATGAGATTCTTCCAACTGATCATGAAGGGCTGCATTTATTTGCATTAACTTTTCACATCTGTTATAATCACAATAATGGAATGAATTAAATTTCTGACTCTGTCTACTTATGTAATATGCTACATTCTTGAAAATACATTAAATTTCTGACTCTGTCTACTTATGCAATATGCTACATTCTTGACAATATATAAAATTATGAACAATACACTGGCAACATAAAGTATTCTTATATTTCTACTTTTTTATTACTTCCTGCGTTCCTCGTCTAATCTCCTCAGCGCAGTATCAAGATCATGGATCCTGTCATCTCTTACTTCCAAGGATGGGGGAAGAGCTGAGACAGTCATGGCCCTGATAGGAGACTCAGGGCCTGGTAAACCTTCTGCCATTTGACTCTCTAGTTCAGAACATCGCTGCTTATACTGGAGGACCTACAACAAATTATGCCAACTATTATGTCAGCTTTATGTTCCATTATGACATACATGTTCTAATTTAAACATGCAAAAGAATAAAGACCAAATTTATCAGTATAGTAGATAGCACATTTATAAGGTCTTTGGTTAAAATCTCATATGGGACACTAGCTTGAGGTGTTTCACAGTTTTCAGCTAGCATTTTAGGGAAATATTTGGATTGTAGCTTCAAATATGCCTCAACCACTTCCATCTGTATCCTTCCACATTTCATCATTTATAAACAACCTGACATTCAACACAATAAAGTTGACAAAGCACTGAAAACAGACAAAGACAGAAATACTAACAGAATAAAGACAAAATGTCATAATAAGGTGGTTAGTAGTCCTGCTTTGCCCCATGAAGATCTTGGAAGAATATAGGTATTACCTTCCAGGCAAATCCAGGGATAGTACTTTAAATAAGGCCACAACCACTTCTTTCCACATCTTTTCCAATTCACTATCATGTTCTCATTCGATGCTATATGGTCTCAGCTACTGAAAAAGCATTGTTAAATAAACCACAAAAAAACTATCCAAAATGATGTTGTTTATGGTAACCGTCGGTCCATCCACCAAAAAGTCAGAGCTAATTTTTTTACAACTCATCATACATAATTACCAAGCCACTTCTTTTTCAACGCCATAAAACACCTTCAGTTAACATGTCAAATCATATCTCAACAGATCCGAGAAAACTAAAAAATACAAATGAAAATACTATAAACTGTGTCAAGATAAATAATACCAAACGCTGAGCTGTGGCAGTTAGCCTTCTGCTTTGTAGTCCCAGTTTCAGATCTCAGTCTGGAGGCTAGACATCATGACTGAAGATGTTTTGGTTTTTCCTCAGTCACTCTAGGAAAACCCTTAAACAGTACTATACAATGGGACATAAACAATATCTTCCATATCCTTCCCAATTCATCACTCACAGCTACCTTATTATTCAATGCACCAGTGATGACAATCATTCACAGAGCATGATGGGGCAAAAGTGGTAGACACATTAGTAAGATGGGTGGGGCAGCAACATTAGGACTCAAGTTTTGTCCACCCTCAGAGATGAGCTCAAATAACTGTTAGATAAGAGCTAACTTAAGCTAACATAACCTAAAAAACTCAAACCAAACATGATGAAAACAACAAATTTGTATGAGATGGCAAACTGCCCTTGAACAAGCCAAAGCAAGAAAGCTGTGTGCAGATTAGTAACCATTCCTCTAAAATCAGATGTTATATAGTGGTCCAACTTCAAAAAATCATTAATTATCAAAAGATCACCTTTGCTTGGAGTCGGCTAACTAAGGCTGCCTGATGTTGTTGTGCTTGTCTGTATGTCTCCAACCTACGCTTGTAACTTGCTGCTTCATCTTCCAGTCTTCGCTGTAATTCCTGATTCTGTCGTAGAAGGGCATCTGGAGCCACATCTTCAGAGCTACCAGTAACAGCTGACCTACTAGGTTCCATCCCTCCTCCACCAGTCTGAAAACAAAAATATTCTGTACCAAATTCTACAAAGCATCTTACATAATTTTAGATATTAACTAAATAATGGAGTAGAGTCCTTCAGAAGCTAATCAGTAAACCAGAAAAGTCTACATTCAGTTTCTTCAGAGTTCAAGCTATTATAGTTTCTTCTTCTTCTTCACAGAAATTATTACACTATTAATTATATTTCTTATTATGGTGACCAAAGGAATGGATCATGAGTCACAACACGCATGAGTGAGATGGGGACAGTAAAAAACTGATTCACAAAACCTAACAAAAAGGGAGCACTTGGAAGACCTCAGAAGATAATATTAAAATAGATATTTAAAAGTGTGAGAATGCTCACTGGAGTCATCTGCTACAGGACAGGTGGATCTGGTCAAGTGATGATAACCTTTTGAGAATACCTACTGGTTCCATAAAAGGTGGGTAACTTATGGCTGGGCGATTATCAGCTTCATAAGAATGCCTCTGCTCCATGTACTTCGTCAGTTACTTTGTTAATTATCCTTCGAGTTGAATTCCTCTTCTAGATATTAGTCAATCTACACTTGCATTACAGGCAACTTAGCCTATATCCCCATTCGGTAATACACGATGCTTTATCTACTATAGATTAATATCATGTATCCTGTGCATCTACTACACACGATTTAACTGCCGCTTATTTTACACATCAGAATTACAAATGCCGCCATACTTTGAAGATAATCATCTACTATTTTTATTTAACTGTGTTATGGACCATAGAGTTTGAATCGTACAACAGAGGTGGCAGCAGCTATTACTGCGTTCGACATCACATTTTTAGCATTCGGAAATATTCGGTGATGGTCGTTCATATCTCGATAACATCCAAAACAGTCCACGTGCATGCACTGCATAATTCGGCCCTTGCAACAAATTAAATTTCATCTAGAAATTTCACACGAAATTGCCAGTCATCTACTCTCAATTGTTTAAGGATACATCGAAATGAGACTTCAAACAACACGTTCTTACACAGTACTCTACTCCATGGAGTTAATTACATAGTTAAGGATGGTCCGTACCTTAGTACACCTATGAATACAAGAAACAGTCCTTGTGAAACTGGTACCTGCTCAGTTGATCAGTAACTTATTTCCCTTTCATAAAACGTACTGATTCATTATCATGTTCAAAACAGTCAGCCAATTTATCCTGTCCTAGCAAGTTGGGCTTGGAGATGAAGAAGAAACTAGTGAAGTGTTACGTATGGAGTGTCGCGCTGTATGGAGCAGAGACTTGGACACTCAGGAAGAAGGAACAGAAATACCTGGAGAGTTTTGAAATGTGGTGTTGGAGAAGAATAGAGAAGATCAGGTGGACGGATCGAGTGACAAACGAAGAAGTATTGAGGAGAGTCAACGAGCAAAGAAGCATTCTGCAGGCGATTACACGAAGGAAAGCTAACTGGCTGGGAAATATTATGAGAAGGAATGGGTTACTGAGTGATATCACCGAAGGCCAGGTTGAAGGAAAGCGAGGACTGGGAAGAAGGCGGATACAGCTAATCGACGACCTTAAAACAAGGAAAGAAGATGACGTTCCAGGAATTAAAGCGAGAAGCCGAGAATAGGGACAACTGGAGAGCTCTTTTTGGGCAGAGCAATGACCTGTCGTAAGACAGAACACTTAATAATAATAAGTCCAGTTTAATCCGGCACATTTATTGTTCTCTCATCTACGGGAATAGTATCTTACTTTCAGATTTTGCGCCAAAACTTTTGTGAGTACTTATTATACCCCCCATGAGTGCCACATTCCCCGTCCACGTCATCCTTCTTAATCTGATCATCCTAATAATATTTACCATAGAGTATGCCTATATACTATGAAACTCAGTGGCGGCTCGTGAGTCTGACCTGTGGTAGTGCTGCGCAAGGGGGAAATATTAGAATAACAATATAAATATATAATAAATGTAAGACTTGAGGTTCTCACAGCGGTGAATATGAAGATTTCTGTCTTCTGGGTTATTGCGCTGTGTAGTCTGGTCGATGTTAACCAACGTTTCAGAGGTCACAATCTCTCCCTCTCCCACCCTCGCCCACGTGCTACCATTGGTCCACTCCCATACCTGCTCCCATTGGCTCAGGGCAGGCTACACCTTTCACGTCCCTGCCTATAAAATCCAACTCCTCACACCCTATTGGCATATTCATCGCCCTGATGACGGAGGCAGTATGACCTCTGAAACGTTGGTTAACATCGACCAGACTACACAGCGCAATAACCCAGAAGACAGAAATCTTCATATAATAAATGTAAATTTACATCACGAGAAAACCCACACGTGATCGACAATGTTTTAACTATTTCTGAGTCACTCAAAGACAATTTATGAAAAATAATTTTACGTAACTATGATACACTTCCTTTACTAACATATAAAAGTTTTAATTTATAGTATTTGTGTTTTCGCTCAGAAAATTAGCATCGTCAGCACAGACCAGACCGTCCCGATTTGCTGAGACCTTCTTAAAGCATGAGAATAATTTCTGCAGAGCTGTCAAAACTACGTAATTTCTTATCAGACAAATTAATTCTGTTCTACTCGACCTCAAAACAATTTCGGTCCTCTTTCAACTTCCTAACAATTAGAGAGACTATAATAAAGAAGATCGTGACTTTTAAGTAAATTCGCAGGCATTAACACAATCAAAATTATTTCAGATTCTTGGGTGGATTGATGAATTAATTAGCGAGTACATTACAAGAATGTTTATGTGTGTTTCATATCTGTAGATATTTTATTTTCTGTCTCAGATTCCTCGTCACATTTGTTTATCAATTTTAATTCAATCAAAAATATTTCTTTCAGCCGCCATATTGTTTTCTGCTGAAAAAAGGGGTAATTTACACAAGTTGTAGGCGTATATTTCTAGGAGATAGAGCATGTACATTTTCAGGATGATTCTCCGTTCTAACTGCTAGACCACCTCATCTTATTATTATTTAGTGTTCTGTCTGAGGACAGGTCCATATGAACAGGATCCTTCCATATTTTTCTTGGCAGATGATCCAGAAGTGGTTTGGCATTGCCTTCTTCTGTGTGTGAATGGGGTAATTGTTGGGATGCCACGGAGAAACCGGGGAAGCCCCCGGAGGAAAACTCCGTGTTGCCTAGAGCACGGCCTTGCCCAACACAAGTTATAAATTCGGGCACCGCCGGGAATCGAACCCGAGACCCCCCAGGATTACAAGGCCAGCGTTCTAATCGCTAGACCACCTCATCTTATTATTCTTATTGTTCTGTCTGACGACAGGTCCATATGAACAGGATCCTTCCATCCTTTTCTCGGACTGGGACCTGTTCATATACGTTCTTGGCAGATGATCCAGAAGTGGTTTGCCATTGCCTTCTTCTGTGTGTGAATGGAGTAATTGTTGGGATGCCACGGAGAAACCGGGGAAGCCCCCGGAGGAAAACTCCGTGTTGCCTAGACCACGGCCTTGCCCACCAAAAGTTATAAATTCGTGCACCGCCGGGAATCGAACCCGAGACCCCAGGATTACAAGGCCAGCGTTCTAACCGCTAGACCACCGTGGCGGCCTGAATAAACCTGTTATAAGCTGAAAAATTAAATCGCGCTAGAATTCTAGGCGCGCGCACAGAAGCTTATGGGAGAATTTTACCAAAATGTATCCAATTCTAGTTAAAATGGGGCAACAATAACGGACACTTTACACATGCGTTTCTCCGACGATAACGAGTGTACTTACGGGGAGGGGGGGGACACTGTTTCGAACGAAAATTGACAAGAAAAATATAACATAACCTAATTCTCTTCAAAGAGACTTTTGATTTTCGAAATAATTACAATAAACGCATTTTCATACTGCGTTATATAAAAAAGCGAATGGTCAGACTGATTTTGATCATATTTTATGACATCCCATATCTGTGCGTGTCTGCTCATCCGTTCGCCTTGTTTTATGCTCTTTATATGAGGCCTATTTCCATTTCATTTTCCCATCTCAATTCGTTTTTCCAAATGGCCTCTTTAAAAGAGTTGATTAATCTCCAATCCCCCCCTGCATCAATTCTCGTAGGTTACAGTAGCAACATTTGCTGTTATTAATAATGGTTGTGTGTAGTTTCCCGGAACACAAACTCCATCGCTCGTCTTAAGATAAAACATTCACCCATTATTTATCCGAGGATGTTCATTGCTAATGACTCGGAAAATTGGGAAAGAGCGCGCGTTATCGGAATTCAATAAAGTGTTACTATCGACTGCTCAAGTTACTGTAAACGCTTGAGTATGTCAAGAACAAGAGTTGACAGAGATTATATTTCCTTATATGGAACACAAATAGGGCAAATGTCTTTCTTAACCGAGGCAGTGTCGTGGTATTCACGCATCGCGATGAGAAGTTTCGAGCGGTCGAATGACGATGTTGCTGTTGTTCTTTTTTTGAAAGCCAATACTACGCTCAGCTAACCAAGAAATTCCATGCCTTTTATGGAACCAGAAGGTTTATTATCGTGTTCATAAGAGCCCGTCGACGTTCCCTATCCTGAGTCAGATGACTCCAATCCACACCAACACTATCTCCCGAAGACCCATTTTAATATTATCCTCCTATCTAAGCTGTTCCGAGTGGTCTTCTCATAAGGCTTTCTAAGCAAAGTTTGCAATCATGTCTCATCACTATCACTTAATACAAAAATACTACTACTAATAATAATATGCTGTAATCTACGTGAGGAAATGTCTCTCTGTCCATTGTAATATGCAGCTTTCTGATTACCACCGAAGTGAAATTCGTGTCTACGGTACACAAATGCCAGACACAGAGTTGTATTCCGAAATAATGAACAAATCTGCAATACAAATTTCAGGGAAATAGTACAGCCAAATATAAGTTAAATTCTTCTAACTGTGAAGTGGGTCAGTGAAATAACCAATAAACTTTCTAAATAACAAAATATTCATCACAGTGTTGATAAAAGCTTGTCCATGGACACTATCCTGAACCCAATAAATCCAGTCCACGTGTTAACACCATATTTCTCCAAGATCCATTTCAATACTATCCTTCGATCTAAGCTTAAGTCTCTCAAGAAGCCTCGGTCTATCAGATTTTGAAAACAAAATGTCGTATGCCTTACGTGCTTCATTCAAAGTTTTCTTTTTCCTTTTTACCAATATCGACATAGCGAAAATAATCCCGCTGTTGACATTAAGCGAATGTTTGTCGGGGTTTTATGATTGGCCCTACCATTGTGTTTATAAATGAACATGGCGACCGACCTGCCTTGGTGGTGCTGGTGGTGGAAGCCGGGAGCCATTGGTCCGAGGGCTGCTATTCGACCGTCAGAACTGTTCACACCAATTCTCCTCGTTCGCTAATCAAAGGTTGAACGGCGTGCGCGGACGTCGTACGCGCTGGTACAATCAATACTCGAATGTTCTTCCACAGCCGTTTCTTTCAGCCACCAAGTCTCAAAAGTGAGGAAATATTTGAAATGCGGTTGCTTCATCCTAGGCAACGCGGAGGAATTCAATAATGCGATTTTAATCTGAACCAGTTCAGGCAATCCTCTTGTGGCCTCTTACCAAGATTTAATACACTTATGCTTTTCTGTCTTCCACTCCGATCTACATAATCAGCCAATTATATAACCCCATGATGTCAATACTCTGATATTACTGCGCAATCCGTTTAGATCATAAACTTCCAAGTTCTGTAATATCTTCGTAATACCAAGTTTTAACTCTGGAGGAAATCCAGTCGACATTG